GCTTTGCTATCTTCTGCCTCAGAGCCAGCCAAGTATGGACTGAAACCTCCACAAACTGTGAGCTAAATAAACCTTTCCTTCCTTCATTTTGGGAGTTGGGTATTTTGTCTCAGCAATGAGAGAAAAGTAACCAAGACAGTATTAATCTCAGAGAAATTAAAGATTAAATTGCAACCACAAAACAAAATATGATGCCATAAAAGAACAAGCATAGGCAAGTAAAATCTAGAAGGATAGAAGATAAAGTCAGTTCAGTCTAAATGAAAGCAAAAAGACAATGAGACAGAAAGCATAAGAGATAAAGTGGCAAGTTAGGCACCTAATATTTGTCTAACAAATGTTCCAGAAAGAGAAAACAAATAATTCAGAAGGAAAAATTGAAAAAACTGTCTAGACCTAAAGTGAGACGGAAATCATCTCATCAAAAAGATTTTCTTAATGCTAATTAGGATGAACAAAAGATCTACAATCAAGCATACTTGCAACATTTCAGAACATTGTAGATAAAGTCATAAATGTTTCCAAGAAACAAATTTCAAGGTTGTAATAATAGTCTTTTCATCAGCAAACTGGATGATAGAAGAGAATGGACTTTAAGTTCCAGGGGAATAAATAATTTTCAGTCCTTTGCTCTAGCCCAAACAAACTCTTTATCAGTGTGAAAGTAAAATAAAGACTTAATAAATTCAAAGGTCCGGAAACCAAAACTCACACATCCATTCTTAGGCAGTTGCTTGAGGATCAGCACCTGTAAAACAAGGGAGTTAATCAGGAAAGAAAAGGTCAGAGAATCCAGATATAATGGATTCAGCTCAGAAGCTTAATGAAAGGAAGTTTCAAGATGACGGCTATTAGACAAGCTTCCATTGCATTAGCAGGATAATGGAAGGCTCAGGGAAGGAGGTATCTATGAGGGGAGAAAAAATGAGCCAGGTGTTTTCTTACATTTATCTTTATTCGTGAAATATTGAGTGAACTTTAAGAAACTTAAGGTAGGTATTGCCAGGCTAAATGGAAGGCAATAAAACTTCAGGGAAAGCAATACGCTTCTCAAGAAAGAAAAGTGCTACACTTGATTTTTCTTTATACTTATTTTTACCTTGAATATGTCTCAAATCACCCCATTTTTTTCTGACTCAGCTACTGTCATCACCATAGACTGAGTTACCATTTTTTTTGCCTAGATTCCTATAGTAGTTTTTAGCTAATTTTGTTGTGTCCTTTATATCTCAATTCTCTCTTACCTATTACACACTATAGAGTGATATTTTTCAAAGTACAAATGTGATGTATCTCCTTGTTGGTTAAAATCCATCAGTGGCTTCCAATATCTCTCTTGGGGTCTAAATCATTGGCGTGTCCTACAAGGTTCCACAGTTACATGGTCAACCAGTCCCTTAGCAGCAATGTGTTGGCAGCTGATATATAGTCTGGCCTGATAGTCATTTATAGATTTAGCTGGGAAGGACACAAGAGACCCAAGTGGATTTATACAATTTAATACTTTCACAGACAGCAAAGCAACATCATCATGGTACCAGCTACTCACATTTCTGGTCCCACTGGATGACACTGAACGAGAGGGGCCAAATGAAATGGGAGGTAGGCTGCTTTGTTTCTGAGGTGTGAACTTTATGCTGCAGCTAAGCCATGTTATATTCTACAGCTACACCCAAAAGAAGTAAAGTAGAAACTACCATGATCCCTTACTGGGATCAGGAAATCAAATGAGATACTGCTTCATGGCAGCCTCCTGCACGCTCTTAGGAGTCAAATGAGAAACTGCTCCTCACTAGACTGCCCTTCCTACCGTGTTCCAAGCAGGATCACAGGGATTCTGTCAATAATCAAGCCTTACCTGTGTGACCTATGGGACAGGCAATTGTCAGGATGCTAGGGTGGAGATGTCCTCCTGCAAACATGTGCTACCTTTTTTACAAATACAGTTTCATATGTTCTTTCTTACTTGCTGAGCAGAGGCCACAATAACCTTTCATTTTCTACAGTGGGCTGTGTTTTCCCTTGTCATAGAAGTTGACAGAATATTTCGTGCCTCTGCCCAAAACTCTGTTTCTCCTATCTCTTTGCCTTGTTAACACCCATCATTTCTTCAGTCTTCTCCCCAACCAGGAAGAAGGACAGCACACTCTGTTATCAGATAACGTAATGTACCTCTCCTTCAGATCACATAGAACAGTTTCAATTTTAAAATTACTTGTATGATCTTGAATTAATGTAATAGCAGATATAAAGTACACATGTAAGATAAGCATAGTACTTAATTTCAAAATACTTTTACATGGTTAATTTCACTTTATCTTTTCTCCTGAAATAAATAGAAAATATATTGTTTTTAACCCTTGTTTTGTTTTTCAGATAAGACCCTGTATTAGAATGAATTTTTTTAACTCTAGCGTGTCCTGTACCTCACCCTTGTGTTTTTCCTATAGATATATTAAATATATGGAGCATACAATAAGTGAAAGGCACAAGGAAAAAGCCATAGGGGTCCAAGTGAGAGATAAATTACTTTGGATGAAGTGATCACAATACATCTCTATAATAGAGCTGGTGCCTGAGTTACCTGGAAAGTTAATAGACTTTTTTTTTTTTTTTTTGTCTTTTTGAGACAGGGTCTCTCCATGCAGTTCAGGCTGGCCTTGGACTCACTTTGTAGCCCAGGCTGGCCTCGAACTCACAACAATCCTCCTGCCTCAGCCTCCCCATTGCTGGGATTATAGGCTTACACCAGCACGCCCCACTTAGACTTCTGATAGTTAAGGAAGTAAAGGTTCTGTAAGACAAGATAGTATAGAAGATACAGTTGTAGAAAGGTAGACAAATAAGATTACTTGAAAAATGGCAGTTGAATGTGTTTTGATGGATGTAGGGTTATTATGTGTGCTAGAAAGGACAGCTTGACCAATTGTACAGGATCTTGCATATAGAATTGACTTTGCTGGCAGTAAGGAGTAGCTAATGTTGCTAAGTGGGCAAATTATCTCATCAGAGTTGAATTTAGGGAGGATTAGTTAAGCAAAAATATATAGAGCAATTTGAAGCCTGGAGGACTGGGTTTAAAGAAATAAATTAAGGTCTAAGTGAGAGGCAGTGAGATCATGACCTGGGGCACAACTTCCCAATGAGTAAATCATGGCACTCCTTACAAAGTATAATATTAAAAAGCCTTTCATTCAAAAACACCTGTCTTGGAGAGATGTTAGATTCGTTTAATGAAAGCACATCACCAGCAGAACTGCAGAGCATTTTGGAGTTTGGAGGAGCTTTTTACAGGATTTCATCTTGTGTTTGGTAATTCTTGGAAGGGTTTAGGGAAAGCAGAGGTCAGTTCTAGATTAGATACTTTGGTACTTTTTATCTTGGAGGTGGATTTTAAAAATAGCAGTCATCTATGCTAGCCAGAAGAGGGAGATATTTCATTATTTTTGTGTTTCTTGAGTGTTCTTATGTTTAGTTTCAAAAGTAATTACATGACAGCCTTATCTTTGTCTTTTACTGTGGTCATAGGGTGGCCTTATCTGAGTCTCTCAAAGTTGTTTGTGTTTAGTTTGGGAACACTGATTTAGATGTCAGCTTTCAGCTCCCATAGTTTTTATTATTATTATTATTATTATTATTATTATTGTTATATCAGTACCTAAAATATCAATCATTCTCACTTTATTAAGGACAAAATTTGTTATAGCTATTCTGTCATATTTGGCTCTGTTTATTCCAGGAAGGTTGAGAGAAGTGTTTATGTGGCCAGATGGAGCAAGGTCTAAATGTTATTAGAAATATGTTTTTTTAAATTGCATGGGTTAACATTTGAAAAAATGTGAAAATAAAAATCCTATTATACCATCTGAGAGAAAAGAGATAGAATTAATTAATAAAAATGTTTCTTTTCCTTATATTAATTTAGGAATGACTGTCTGCAAAAAACCTGGGAACAGAGAATGCAATCATCATTGTAAAAGTAAACATACATGTGGACATGATTGCTGTGAGTTCCATAAAATAAGTTTATGTCAGGCATTAAAAAGTGAAAGATTATTGATGAGTGATAATAGCATCCTAAGTATCTATATTTTCTTTCTGATTTATTGCATTTAACATTATGATTTCAAGTTGCCTCTTTTGTGGGCAGCATGAAAAAAGTAAATGGTAGATTCAAAATTTTGAAGAAATTTGGCTTTATAGGAAAAATAGCTAAAATTTAATCTAAAAAAATCTAAAATTTCTTTTCATAGGTAAAACTGGAGTTGCACAGAAGTCAGAGGTAAAAGAGACAGCAATTTCTTCATATTTATCTGATTTAAGAAACAGGAATGCTGTCTCATCTCTTCCTCCAGTTAAACGTCTCAAGGTTAGTTTTAATAACATTCCTTTGTTCTGCAATTAAATGAATATAAATATAACTTATTCTATGTATCAATTAGGTAGGTATCCACAGTATAATTTACAGTTACTTGTGAGCTGGACTAGGAATATGAAAGTTACCTATAGTCAGTCTTGACCTACTAATTTTAGAACATATTTATACACCTCTTATGTCATTAGCTTTTTTTAGCCAGAAAAGAGGGAGAAGAAGGATATGATCTTGGCTTGGTTCAGCAAAAGTTGAAATTAGATGTTCTTGTCCTTTATGGGTTCTATCTGTGCTGAATAGGACTGGGAAGTCTAAAGCTGACTTGGATTTTTGTGCCTTGTTGATTATTGAGCAAAAGTATTTCTTCTAAGTGATTAGGAAATGAGTTTCTACTGGTTGCTAGGCCAGTCACTAGCAGACTAAAGCCTAGGACATCATATCCTAGTAAAGTTCTTTCCTAGGGCTTTTATAAAAATGAATACTCTGAGTCATGAGGATAAAAGAAGAGGAATGTTGGGAAATGGGAAAAGGCAAGGGGTTTGAAATGATTATAACCTTCTCTGAGAGAATCAGTTGTTATGAACATAATATTTCTTCCTTCCTCCTCTCCCTCCCTTTGTTCCTTTGTTCTTCCATATTTTCCTTCTTTCCTTCCACATTCACTGAGCAACAAGAATATGCTAAGATAGAGCAACAAAATGAAACAATTTTATCCTCAGCCCTCATAGAATTTTTACTTGAAGGAAGAAGATACTAGTAGGGAAACAAGCCTTTTCAGTGTAGTGTGATGGGCAATTCTGTAACTGAAGTTAAGACACTTCAGTTTAGATAGAAAGTGTGTGCAGTCTACATTTGATAAGCCAGGAAAAGATTCCTCATAGATGTGACTGAGGATAAACCACATACAGAGAAGTGGGGCATTTGAATGGTGGTAAGAAGGGATAGAAATGTGTGTAAAGGTCTGGGCGACAGGAAAGATATTTAAAGGAGCTTCAGTAATACAGGGTGTCTAGAGCTCAGTTACAAGTAGAGGAGGAGATAGAGATGAGACTATAGAGGTGAGATGAGACTGTAGAGGTAAGATGAGACTGAAGGGGCTAGATCATGTAAGCCTTTTTGCTATTTTAGTAATTTATCTTTTATCTTCCAAAGTACTGGAAAGCCAGCAATGGGCTTTAATCAGTGACATGATCAGAATTGCATTTTATAAACATTATTCTGGCTGCAATGTAGAGAAGGGATTAAAGGATATAAAGTATAGGAATGTGTAAACTCATTAGGTTGTTTGTTCAATAATTCAAGCAAAATGATGACTTCATCTAAGGTAGTAGTAGAAGCAGTGGAAAGAAGTTACTAGGCTAAAAAAATTCAAATGAAGGATCAACTACCTCAGTACTTCACTGATTATGAAGAGTGAGATAGAAGGACTGATCAAAAAATGACGCCCAATTTTCTGACTTGAGCAACTAGGAGAAAAGTTAGGCCTTTCTAGGGTAAAAACACTAAAGGGAAAACAAATTTGAAGGGGTAGAGACAAAATAAATTCAGTTTGGGAAATACTGAATAGAGGCCTGTGAAATATCTCTACCTAAAGATATCCTGCATACAGTTCGATATAATTGAGAATTAGGACAGAGAGCTGAACTAGAAATATCACATGAGTATAATTCACATGAAAACGATATTTGAAGCTTGAAGATTGCAAACATTTGAGACAGGTCTGACAAAGAGATTTGAGTTAGGAACTAGCCTGAGTTTCATTGATTTCTGGACCTTATGTTCCAATAAGAACTTTGCTGTTTGCCTTATTTGTTAAAAGTTTTTCATGTGAAACTGACAGGTGACTTTGTACTTCTTTATTAATAGATGCAGATGAGTAAGTCTCATAGTGTGGACCTTCAAGAGTTTGGTTTTATTCCAAAGCCTTCTCTTCCCAGTATATCAAGGTAAATATATAATGTTAATATTAAAGGTAAAATATTCATCTTAAGCTCACTGTTCTTCCACATAACCACTTATTCAGGGAAAGTGGTTACTAGCTATTCACAGTAAACCACACTAATCATTTAATTCCATAATGAACCAACAGTGTTGTAAGGGTTTTATTATCTTTCATGCCCTAAACGTATTTAGAACTCCACAATTACGGAATACGGACACTCATTGAATCATCTTTTTCCTAGGCAACTATCCATCCTGTCCATCCCTTTAGGCTCTATGACTTCTAAACCAAGTGACAGAAATATACTATGCTTTAAAAAAGAAAGCTACTGGGCATAGTGGCACATGCCTATAATCTCAGTATTTGGGAGCCTGAGGCAGGAGAATCACTAGGAGTTCAAAGCCAGCCTGGGGTACATAGTGAGTTTACCAGCCTGAATTAAAGAGTGAACTCTATCTTAAAAACAAATAAACAAACAAACAATAAGTAAATAAAGAAAGAAAAAAACCAGGTTGATATAGAAAGTCTATCTTTCTATTCAGAGACTCAGTTCATACTAGTCAGACCTCAGACATAAAATATTTTAGAATTTCACTTTTGTGCATTATCTCTTTTGACCTTAATGACATTTGGCTCACAAAATAAAGTATTTTTATTTCATTTTATTGGCGAAAAAATTGAACTGCATATTCCCAGTTAGTAAGCAGAGGCCTTAGTGTTCTTTTCCTATATCATGATGCCTAGAAGACAATAGTATATACACTTTCCCATCAGACAGGGGCATTCTACATGCCGGGATGATATTCAGTTTCATACCTAGTACAGCACAGGATTTAGTATTCAGAATACTAAATCCCAGTACTACTTCTAGAAATCTCAGTTGACTGCAAGTAGCATTAACAGTAGATTTTTTAAGATTGTGTACTGATAGCAGATATCATTGCTGAACTTTGGTCTTTTCCATTAAACCTCTGTCTTTACACTTTGCTACCCAGGCTGAGCACAGTTTATCACAGAAATGCTGAGTGGATAGACCATATTCTTTTCATTTATGTGAATAAGTAGTCCAGATTCATTTTTGTGTTTTCTTTAACATTTTTATTTTTTTAAAAAATCTTTATAAAGGTCAGAATATTTAAACATGCCTATAATGGAGCAATATAATCAACATGAAATCTGTGGAAAGGTTCAGCAAGAACTATCTGAATATCAAGGCAAAGGTAAATTACTGTTGATATTGACTTGAGATGGCATATATGTTATCATTACTTCAGATTGACAAGTAATATTGAAAAACCAACATCTACAATTACTATGGCCCTTAACTTAGCAATATATTTCTCTTGGGTTATTAAACCAATTTCAAATTCTTGGGTTTGTTATTTCAGATGGCTTTGCTATGTGTCATAGCTTTGTTAATAAATATCTTTCCTACATAGTGTTATTTTAATTTAAAGATAATATGAGGAAGAGTTGAAAAAAATCATCCTTGAGTAACAGAATAGTAAAAAACGCATAATTTTCATATGTCTTTAGAATTATAAAAAATAATTTTATATTTATAAAATTAGTCCCATTTTACAAAACGGCTGTGTGACCTTGGGTAAATTGCTTAACCTCTTTGGACCTTAGTCTTATCTTTAAAATGAAGAGATTTAGATGGGTGACTGTTACTATCTCTTCAATTCTTACACCTATGATTCTTATAATTTCTATAATAATATGAGAATGTAACCTAAGTTGAGGGATATAGCTGATCTATAATGCAGATTTGCTTTTTACCTTTGTCTTTCATAAATTAATGCATAATTCATATAAATTCCTCAATACTATGTCTGTTTTATCATAACTCTGTATCCTGGTATTAATAGCATTGTTATTAATATCAGTATATTTGTTTTGGGTTTTTTTTTTTTTTTTTGTCTTTTCTTCGGGTACCAGAAATTGAACTCACGACCTTGTGCTTGCTAGGCAGGAGCTGTGCCACTGAGCTAAATCTCCAGCCCTTAATATTAGTGTATTAAAATGATTCAGAAATAATTTTGGCCAGTGAGTTGTTTGTTCAGGTGGCTATATATAGGTAAAAATGAAATGGCAAGACATGATAAGCTTGGAGTTTTCTGAAAATAATTTTATGTTTGGCATTGACTTCTGCTGCCACTCTTTTCTTTGTTACTGTCAATTTATGGTTTCTTTAGACATAATTTAAGGTCTTAGAAAGCTGCAGATGTACCTCAGTGGTACAGCATTTGCCTAGCTTTCCCCACCACTACCAAAAAATCTACCACCTCTTAATGATACCATGGCAGCCTTTAGGCCCAATATGAGATCAAGAAAGTCTGCTAATCTTACCTGGAGAATCAGAGTATTTATCCAACTTGTACAAAGAATGAATATTATTATAAAATAGAAGGTTTTAAAATTGTCAACCCTCTTATTTTTATCTCCTTTCAACCTATAGCTATCTAACTTGTTTCTTCTTTATGTTACTGTTTTATTCTCTGCCCTTATGTGTGCAGAATTTATCATTCCCTCTGCTTACTTTCATGTTGTACCTATATAATATAACTTTCTTTCTGTCCTACCTGCTATCCCAAATCTAATTTATATTATGTTTATTAATATTATGATAGAAAAACCCCATCTAGATTCTTTAACCCCCAGTAATAACTGTATTCTGGGGCCATTTTATTTTATTTATTATTTTTTATGAAAGAGCCAAATAGTACAGATGGAGGGAAGCAATCTGTCTAGGTCCAAGATCTAGTTCTCCCATTTAGTGTAACCCCTCATAGTATACTTAGCCACTGTGTCTCAATGCCCTCATCTGATTAAATTTTAGAAATATTATAATTAACTGAGATAATGTATATAAAGCTCTTAGCATAGCATCTGATACTGTGACCAATCAGCTGAGTGTTCTTTTAGTGTCCGTAGCTGGAGCTTTGAATGCCAGCAGCTATCAGCTTTTAGCATTACTAGCCCTTCACTACTCTCTAGCCTCCGGAGTGGGAACTCTTCCAGGGACCAAGATGGCAGCTCCTGCCAATTCTCCATTGTCATCATTCTCTGCTGCTAGCCTCTTTCAGCATTATCAGCCCCAGTGGCCTACGGTTTTATCAGGTCTTAGTGTTCCAGGTCAGCCTGTTGTATTGGAGATAGAAATCATGAATAGGCAAAAAATAGACCATCTGAAAGAGGCTTTATTAGGATTTATACTACAGCATAAGGAGGAAGGATGTACAAACTAACCTATAAACAGTACAGAGCAATCATTTATATAGGAGGAAAAAAGGCTAGCTTGTGCATATGCAGTGTTAGACTGCATTTAGGCAGGGGTAGGAGAGGTGCTCCTTACAGACTTGCCTGAAGATAGCTCCAGGGAGTGGAGCCATCCAGAGAGACTGCAGAGCAGTTATCTAGATGAACCTTCAAATGAGACTTGTTACAACAAAAACAAATGTCTCCCATAGCAGTTGTATGGTGTTTTATGTAGCCATAGCTGGGTACAGGGCATTTGGGGCAGCTATGGAACAAAGAAAATAATTTTGTTTTTGTTTTTGTTTTTTTTCCAGTACCGGGAATCAAACTCATGACCTTGCACTTGCCAGGCAGGCACTTGCCAGGCAGGCGCTGTGCCACTGAGCTAAATCCCCAGCTCCTAAAGAAAATAAATTATACGTACATTTTGAGTCATGTTGAGCCCTTCTCTCCTGTCTCATTACTATTAACAATTTACCAGCCCAATTATTTAAATACAGGATGACCAAAAATTGCATTTTGGGTTAATTTTTATAAGATAAAAATAACAATTTTATCAAATGTATTTAATAATTTTTCTGGACATGGTATATATATCTTAAAACATTCAACATCTGCCTAAGCGACACTCGGGATAGTCAGTACACAAACAAATGTGCTGCCCAAGTACACTTAGTGAAATCTGTTAAGTGGCTAATAATAGTGAATGGGTATGTTTATTCTCCTTTTCACATATTATCTTTGTTGGAAAAACATATTTTAAATGTATTCAGATACCACTTTTGATAACATTTTAAGAAAATGTGGCAATTTCATCATTTATATTCTGATTTCAAGAAGGGGAAAAAATGTTAGAAATTCTAGAAGAAATGTTGACATAAAATTTAAATTGAAAGGGACCTTTGTGCAGCATCTCATTTTACAGTGTAAGACTCCAAGACTCTGAGAAATTAAATAGCTTGCCCAAAATCACATATCTAATTAATTGCAGAGACAGAAAAAGATTCCATAACTCCCTATTTCCAATCTAATGCCATTTCTAGAAAACAAAATTACATCCATTCTGCCTTTGGAGAATTGAAATTCTTCAGTGTTCCTCTATCCCCTTGTACCGCCATTCCAACTTGTGTTTCTCTGCCACTGCACCCATCCTTAACCCTCATGTAAACTGAAAAGTCTAAGCATACGTCTGCGTTTAATCTTGGCTAGATCCAGGCACTTGGATGATCTCATCATGTCTCTGGCTTTCTCTTGGTCTTTTAGCTATGCCTGTTGCTTATTGGCTTTATTTGTAAACTAGGCTTTCTCACTTGGCAGGTAGTCCCTAACTTGTATCTTCCCAGTTTAGCAACGTCAGTAGGAACAGGTAGTCTTCCCTGTGCATTTTAGACTTAGTTCATTCTACCTGGCCTTATGTGAGTCATGTTTTCATTCTTTATCAATCCCTGGAGCCTGAGCAGTTGGATCATTCTATCCTTCAGGTCCCAAGAAAGGCAATGTATCACAAGCAAAGGATTCACCAGGATGGTGTAGAATATGGTAGAGACATGTTTCCCCAAAGAAAAAGAGTGTTACTCCTACTAAAAGAATGGAAAGCATGTCAGACAAACAAAAACCAGAATCTTCTTGCTATACCCTTTATCTCTTATTGTCTCCTCAAAACAAAAATTTCGAAGGGACAGTTTACATTCTGTATGCTCACTTTCTTATAGCTTGGTCACTTTTCGTTCATTAAAAGTTCCATTTTCTTTTGTCTGTACTTTGAAACTGCTTTTGTTCAGGTCATTTAGTGATTTCCTAAGTGTCATTCAGTGAATTTTTTTCAACTTCTATTCTTTTTGACTTCTAGTATTTTATACTTCTGTTCTTCCCTTTCTTTTGGAAGTCTCCTTTAGTTTTAGTTAACTCATTCTGTTGGTTTGTCTTCTACTTCTCAGACTGCTTGGGCTTTTCTTCCTGTTGATGTTGCAAGAGGGTCCTCTACCTCTCCTTTTCCCCTCTCCTTTTTCCTCTTCTTCGTCTTCCTTCTCTTCTCCCCACTCCTCTACCTCCTCTTTTCTCACTTCAAGACAACACCTAGACTATATTACCTAAGCCCATGTCTTCCATCACTAACTATACTCTAATATTTCCTAAGTTTGTATCTTTCCAACTCCAAATCCATCTAATTTAGTCACTTTCCTGGCCATATCCACCTAACATTATCAATATCAGCATCCAAACTCCATCTTCTTTATGTCTTATTCCACTCTATTTTCTCCTTAGCTCAATGAATAAACTCTCTTCTAAGCTTCTAAGGGCTAAAAAATCCTTCTAAATACTTACCCTATATGTGATTTACTAGTAAATCTTGTTTTGCCTCCTACACATCTCTTGTATATGTTCTTTCCTCTCTATCTTTTTTTACTGATACTCAGATTAGGAATTAATTTTTCTGTCATGTATTTCAGTAACTTTTTACCTTTTTCTCTGTTTTTCATCTTATTATCCTCTAATCCATAACTATTCCAATTGATCAAAAAGACATATCAGATCATACAAACCTCTTGCTAAAACATCTTCAAAGTTATCTGTTGTTAGTACAAATAAAAATGTCTGTAACATGACAAATAAACTTCACCTTGGTCTAGTATTTACCTTGCCTTTGAGACTTCATTGGGTCCTGCCTTATTCTGCTTTGTCCTTCAGAAATCCTGAAGAGTCATAGTTCCCATCTTTGATTTCTCATATGGCTGTGTCTTTTACGTGCTGTCTCTCTTCATAGACTATCTTGCTTTTCTTTTTTGCCTGCTCTGTGGTCACAGCTCTAATCAAGTTCAAAGTCCTACTGTTGCTTCATGTGTTTTACCTCAGCAATCTTTTTTATTCCCTTTGCTCTTTCCTGTGCATCTCCACTGCACTTTGCATCTATTTCCATTTTTAGTACATCTGTTATGTGCATCATGGTTTGTATTGTGTACAAAACTAGAATAATGTGAACTATAGTTGTAAGTACAGTTGAAGGGTAAAGTATATTTTGAATGAAAAAGTAGATAGAGGATATTTAAAGTTAAGGGAACTCTAGTATCTAGAGCAAGATAGTACTGGTTTGTGAGAGATGATTATTAAATTTTCAGAAATCTTTCAGTCATTATTTAGGATTAATTATATAAAATTTAGTAAAGTAAATTATGCTTTTAAAAGGAAAAATGCAGAACTTAGCACTTCCTAATTATTTCACTATGATTTACTATTATCTGTATTCTTAAGGTTATTTACATATATGGTGGAAATACTGTGCAGTGCAGTACTATACTGTTTCTTCCCAGTTTCTCATTCAGTGATGTTACATTAGTAATTTGAAATTAGTTATGGTGGCATATTTTTACTATTTGAATCAGTAAATACTGCCTATCAGAATTTAAATTGTTTTATTTATTGTTTAAATTTAAGAGACATATTAAACATAAGAGTGTGTTGTACTTGTAGCCATTATCATTGTAAATAACACACAAAAGAATCAAGGGGATATTTTTCCAATGTTTGAAAACTACTATTTACTTCAGCAAAGATGCTGCATAAGTCAAGGATGAATAAGTGAAATCCCTACATATGACTTTGATGTTTTCTTTCATCTTATTTGTTAAAGTCAACAGACATGTCAAACAACATTCACGTGAGCACTATAGTCACTTGTCAAGTGCAGTGATAGTTTGGCTATAGACAGAAGAGTGGCAAAGCGATGAAATCATTCAGTACAAATCAGCTAACTATATAGAACTTACAATTAAGCAAACTGCATATATTATTATTCATAAACCATGCAGTACAGTCCTTTATGTCAGTTGAGATTGATAATATACATGTATGTATATGTATGCATGCATTTTTGAAAGACAGTTATCAAATATTGTTCAGTATATCATTATGCAAAACTATATAAATGAAGACATTTAGTCACCATAACAAATTTTTGAAGTTGGTGCTATTGTTATTCTCATTTTGCAGGGAGATAACGAGGCTTAGGGACTTTTAATTACTTATCTAAAATTATATAGCTGATTAACAAAAGAGGTGAAATGTTCACCCAGATAGTCTCACTCTAAATCCTAGGTAGGAACAATGGTAACACTGAAAACTTTTTACCAGAAGAAAAATAAGGACTGATTTCAGAGAAATATATTTCATAACAGCATTCAAAATTAACTAGTAAGAAGCAAGACATGGAAGAGCAAGACTATTTTAGAAGCTACTATAATTTAATTTGGAATAGAGTTATTTTCGTACATGAATTAAGAGAAAAAAAGTCTTAAAGTCCATTGAAAATTAAATTTAGTGTAACTATCAGCCCATTTAATACATTAAATAAACACAATAGTATTTAAAATGCTTGACACAGAGCTTTTGAAAAGTATTACTCAAGACCTCTGCTTAGTAGTTGAAAGGTATGTTTGATATATCAACATAAAATGATGCTTGTGGTTTTAAAAGTACCTATTCTTTTTTTATATGTACATATAACAGACTTTTCTAGATGGAACTGTTCTACAACTTCAAATGAGGAAGCTCCTCAAACAGCGGTGTTCAACAGAAATTTTAATGTATCTGGAAAACAAAATTTGACAGATGCAGATAAAAGCTACTCTTCATTTTCAGAAGTTTTGAATGTGAACTTTGAATTGGGAGATGAAGTTTGGGATGATTTTGATGATGAAAACTTAATAGAAGTTACTAGCTTTTCAACTGATACTGAGAAGACAAAGGCATCAGGTAGAATTATGTTTTAGCATGAAGTAATTTCATTTGAAATTCTTTGACTATTTTTTATTTTGGCTCCTAGAAGTAATTTTCTTTGCCTTTTTTGTATGTGCTTGTTTAATTAGATTTGTTTCATTAAGACTGCAATTTTTAAGACAACTGAAAATGTGATCCTCTACAAAGACTATTTTCTCCCCCAAGGGTAGAGATCAAGGTTATTTCATGATGATGATGTAGCAAATCAGCTTTTTCTATTGTTTTGCTCCTCTGTCTTGTTGAAGAGTCTGTACAAATTCAGACCATTGAACTGTCCCTCACAAAGCAGGCTCTCCTGCTGTCCATTCTACCACACATGGTTTTCTAATATTTGTGAAGGATAAAAATATTTGATTTTTTTAAGGTATTCAGGTGCTTCAATAGAAAATAAAGTAACTTTTATTTCTAGTCAAAATACTGACTTTTCTGGTATAAATAAAGGATTTGTTTCTTGTGTAGGAGAAACTACATTTAAATCATATACAAACCAGAAGTAATGAGACTTAGTTCTTTGAGTTACAGGCAATTTCATTTCATGTCACTAAAACAAAAAATTGAAAATCTGGTTATTTGACCAGATAACAAATGGAGATACTCTACCCCGTGAGGGCTGACAGAAGAAATCAGTTCCTCAGCCTTCTCAGTGCAGAGTTTTATTCCCCCCATTATTATACTTTTGTTGCTTCTTAATATTCCTCACTTTGTGCTCTTAAAAAAATTCTTTCCAAGGGAAGCAGCTAGTAGTTGAAATACTGTTTTAGGGCCCTAAGAATTACCTAAAGAGCTATTGCTTTTCTCAGACCGATTAGGATTTGAATATGACTACCTTCACAAAACTCTCCTGGAAAAATCTCAGGACGTTGGATCATTAGGCATAGTTTCCTCTATCACTGCACAACTACTGATCCCTATCTTATGATTAAATATCATTGTGCACTGCAAGTTAATAGGCAACTGATTGTGGGGGTGGCCTAATCCTTTGAGGGTATAGCCTTGTCACTGGGAAGATCAGCTCAGTAAATGCTATTTTCCCTCCATATTTATAGCACTTTAAATATGCAGACCTTTGAAAATACTGAATGAATTTCAACTTGATCATTTACCTGAGTTAAAAAAGAAATAAGTCCATAGTGGTGGACTAAAAAGCTAACCTATGTGCTTTATAGTTTTATTCTCTTAGCTGTGGGCCATTATTTTCTCTAAGAAATTAAATTTGATTGTTAGGCATTGCTTTCTTAATCAGATCATATCTGTTGGAGAGATTCTTGTAGAATGTATGAACACTTCATTCAGCTGTTTCCTGACATTTTATTTTAAAATGTTATCTCTTTATGTAGGATTTGGAAACACTTTAAGATCAAGTACCAGGGAAAGTAAATTACCCCTCCAGGAGTCAAAGAGCAAATTCCAAAGAGAAATGTCAAACAGGCAAGTTTTTGAACTTTAGTTTGTAATTCTTGCAAATTTATATTCTTTTGACATATAATTGGACATAGGAATCAAGTCATTAGATGTCCGAGAAGTTGTAAGATATTACCAACCTGAACCCTCTTTTTTTTTTTTTTAACCTGAACCCTCTTAACCTTAGAGACATGTTTCTCAAAGTGCTGTTGTCAAACCACCTGCAACAAAACCACCTAAGGGTTGCATATTAAAAATGCACATTCCTGGGCCCACCTAATCCCACTGAATCATAGTCTGTGGACTGGAGCCATGTTTGAATCTCTCAGACCACTCAATAGCTTTTTAAAATATTGTCCTAAAATTTGTCATTTTCTCATTTCCATTCATTGGTTCTAACTTCAAGTCTGATAGAATAGACAGATATAATCAAAAAAGTAGAGCTAAGCTGTGAGTGTAGAGAAGCAAAAATTAGATAAATCACAAGTGGGAAGATAACAAAGCACAATTTTCTGTGTAACACCTTTTAAAAACTACAAATAATTTTGGAAATTTAGAAGTGACCAACACAAGATAAATAGGTTTAAAAATAGATCCTATCCAGAAGCCTCTAAGAAATTGGTGTTAGAAGTTGCTCCAGGGAAGGCCTGCAGGGGCCAAGGAGCTGGAGTGGAAAGTACACCTGTTTTTCCTTTGATATCCTTTTAAAACTATTTAATTCCTTGTTTTATATATACATATATATATATAATATTTATTAATCCAAAATAAAAAAGATCTACTCCCTAACTCATTTCTGGAGGCAAGCATCATACTGATACCAAAACCAGAGAAAGACCCAACCAAGAAAGAGAACTACAGACCAATCTCCTCAATGAATATAGATGCAAAGATACTCAATAAGATACTAGCAAACAGAATGCAGCAAATTATCAAGAAAATTATACATCACGATCAAGTTGGATTC